GAAAAGAAAGCGTTTCGTGGATGATGTTCCTTCTCGCGATCCAGGATTCCACTTGTACCACTCGAAACGGACCTTCTCTATGGGATAAGTTTCAAGTCTCCAGCTGGGAAAACTTCCGCCCGTTAAGGTCGTTCCGAGCACGTGGAGCATGCGGTTGTTTCGCTGGATTCGATGCTATCCTCGGACGCGTATTAAGAGCAGACGTTTCTCTGGTCGCGCGTGTAGATAATTGCGCGTCGATCCACGAAACACCACCAACGATCTCCTCTTTGCTCAAACGACACGTTTTTCCCTTTCGTTTCGTTCATCGTCCCCGTGTTTCCCCGTTCGATTCTTCTTCTATTTCCTACTCATAGAATTTCCTCTATTTTCATTCCATCCCGTTCATAGTCGATCGTTTGTTCGCTCTTTAACTCGTTCCGTGTCGGGTGAATTTTAACGCGTTGAATGCCGTTTCTTACTTTGCCTAATTAGTATTAAAATTTATTTCAGTTATACGATTGTATTAAATTCGTGGTGTCGTTTACCGATAACCCCTTCAGGCAGCCAGCGTGTTAATATTCTCAACGGTAACCCTGCCTAGAATCTCGAATATTTTATAAATTATGACAATTCTTATTAGCCGTGGAAAAATTAGGGTCAGAAGGGTAAATTGTCGAGAATGAAACGAATGGAGTAGTTTTCACCTGTATTAGCAAACGATCGAAACGAATGACACGTGTAACGCACGACACATCGTTTCCTTGTTTCTACTTCTTCCAGTTTCTCTCGTTGAACGACCATTCGAGCTGGCAATAAACGCGAACAACGATCCTAGGTGTGTCTCGAGATACGATTCTCCTTTTTTTCTTTCCTTTGCTCTAATGTCCGGACAGTAGCGATGCGGCCCTCTGTGAAAGAAGCAAAAAGGGTGCAGTCCTTCTTCTGTCTCTCTAAAACCCTTCTTTTCTTTTATCTGACTGCTTTTAAGCGGAATTACAACCAGGATGTGTAGAAAGGTTCATGAATAACGTGTCTAGCGAATAGCTAACGTTTCATCCCTTACATGCCCGCGATTTTTATTCTTTGCTCAGATTCGCCGTCATGAAATAAAGATACTCGGCGGTGGATAATCCAACAGGATGAATTCGTCGTGCGTTACACGTGACTTTTCCTATGGATTTTCAAATCATTTTACGTACCAGAGTTTATGCGTTTAAATGGAAGGGTTGTAATTCCGATCGACGATTCGAAACGAAAGATGCTAACGACAAGAGGAGATCGCTGAAAAAGGTATATTCCGTGTTTCGTGAATCGTATCTTCTTTTTTTTTACGTTTAGGGGAAAGTTCACCGATTTCATCCGCGAATTTAATAAAACGTTTACCGGCGCGAGCGAACGAGCGAGCGGGCGTATTTTGCGTGTGGTGTGCGTGCGGTGCGCGTCTGTTTCGCTTGTCTGCGTGGGATACTAGTGCGTTCGCGAGACGGTGTGCAAGGTTACTCTCCGTGATCGACTGTAATTTTATATAATATTTGTAAGGCAAAAGAAATATTATGTACAGCATACCTGATAGTAAATAATAAGTATCTACCTTATAACTAAAGTACGATCTATTTACGTGTTTGTTCGCAATTGATTCAACCTCTCGTCGGTCTATCCTTGTTTCGTTTACCTTCGAAACTTTACGATGGAAGAGTTTCAAACGTGTCAAACTCTTGCAATTGTTACCCGTGTTTAATTTTCACTTGTTCGCGTTTAAAATTCACCGTTTGCCCGGCCAATTCGGTAAGATACGCTCGAGCAAGTCGAGCTTTGATATTACCGATGCTCGGACAACTCTGCTTATAAGTTGAACCCTTAAGTATCCAAGTGGGACGACAGTTCTGGCCGTTTTACGAGGCACGGTGATAATAATAAAGTATGGCGGCTACGTGATCCGAATACGAGCGCGAATCGTGTAGCAAAGGGATGCTGTGAAATTTTCTACGAACAACAGCTGAATTCGTTATTCTATCGCAATAATGAATACCTTTCTCTTTTTTAATTTTGTCTGAAATTAATATCATTTCATGACTCAAATTAATCGTACTTTAAACTTAAATACCTCGGAATAATGTTACATTTTAGAGAAGTAAATTCTATCAAACGGAAACGTTTAAATCGGTTTTCCGGAGTTTCATCTGTCTAGTTGACCGTATGTATATAAAAAAGGAAAAAGATTTCACAGTGAAAATACGCGTGAGATGTTGATTTCGAAAACATTGCGACGTATTCGTGTCCACGTCGACGGTTCGTACCAATTTCCGGACGCGTTAACAGAAAAGGGGAGGGAAAAAGCAGGCGAGCGAGAAATTGAAAACGATTTCCGCGGTTAGTATTATCTTTTACGATCTTAGTTAAAGTACTCCGATACGAGACGCTCGCGTCGGTTTCCTCTATGAACTGCTTTCTGCCGCACTATATTGGCACACTGTAATGCGGATTGTCATAGACTGCAATAATATTACCGTTACGCGGTTTCGGCGTTGTCCTCTCATGAAAATGAGGATATTGCCAGCGCTCCCGCGATAATTGCAACGTACCTGTTAACGAAGAAGTTCCGGAACAAAGCGATGCTTATCGCGACGAGCTAATGTAATAATATTTTCCGGAAATATTTGGCGAACCGGTTTTGCACGACGACGCACGTAAACGCGATGACTACGCGACCAGGTATTCATTAAACGGTGATCGTTAATCAACGTGAATTCAGTGGCAATCGCGATTGACGAGCAATATTTGGGATTAATTATAACGGGCAAACTTGACGCGTCTGTTACTAGATGCTAATTGTGTGTGGTCATTAATTTTTGATCCGTTAATTTTGATCCGCGCCCAGCATAATTTCATGATATAAAATAATTGATATTCGAATACGGCTTGAGATTAAATCTTATGTACAAGGACGGGAAAGGATCGCTTTTGTTCCTTCGGATTTATAGCGTTATCGAGTAGAGGTTCCATAGATTTTAAATCCTCGAAAGATGTCGATCTGGCCACACCACTCGACCAGGACCTTATCCTGATTCTTCTTATATCACCCTACTTTACCTGACTGCATCGCCACCACGCTTCTATCCTCGTCGAGATGCTCGGCTGCGATTCGATGTCGACATCGATTTTCTCATAAGAGTTCGCCGTGAAACTGATACTCGAGCCCCCGGGAGTAGCTCGAGCCCTTGAATCTTTTAAAAATTACTTCCTCCCTGTGACCGATCTGCTACCTCTTGTCCTTGGTATAGAACAGAATTCCCACTTTAGATTGCCAGTTTTATGGAAAACCGTGGGCTTACGATAAAATATGGATTTTCATTCGATACAACGTTTGATAATAGAATAGGTCAAACGAAGACGTACTCTAATTTCGTTCTTTTCCGCTAGGGATAATTAAATTAATTAAATTTCTTTATTTTCTGAAACAGAAATCGATCTCTTTGTACTGGATTTTAATATCTCTTATTTCATATCTTCTGCTCAATTTATTTGATTATGAATTTAGTACAATCCACGAATTCGATTGATTTAAATAAGTAATTTGGTGACACTTCGTTGCCGAATAAAAAAGGTTATCAATTTAGAAGGATGAATAAATAATTGGAAAACGAATCAGAGTTTACTTTGCGGTTATCGGATTACTCCTCTCGAATATTTAGTTTTGAAATGAGTATAGTATACGTTGAAATAACCGACAATTTCTTTGTGTCGTTTTTAACGTATCGTGCAATCAATTGTATTTTCAGTTCGATACGTAATGGAAATTATATGCTGATAAATAATCGTGTTGTAGAAAGTTTAAATTACTTGGAAACGTACATCGAACGGTATTCTATTCAGAGTTGTATTTTCTTTCGTAAGTATTCGAGCGGTGAGCATAAATAAATCGTTGAATGTGAGTAAACGTGTCAGCAACGCGGTGCTGGAAATTCTGTATAGCATCGTCGAGTTCATGATTCCCAAGACGTGCAGAACAAACTATTTTGTGGACTCGAGATAAATCACTTCCGACACTGTGTTACAAGAAACTTCGGACTGTTTGATTTTGCATTTGCATCGATATAACAAGATCTTTACCGGATCGTTTCTTGGCTGCCGTTACTGGCAAATATCTCACGCTGCGTCGTACCGGAAACGGTTGTAAAAAAAAATGTTCTTCGAGATAAAAAGGCAAATAGAAAACAATTATCTTCTGACGTTAAAAAAAAAAAAGAAGAACCGAGAGATTACCGGTTAAGAATACGAATTCCGTTTGGTTCTATAATCGATTTCGTCTCCCGTTCGAAAGCTCTCTTAATCGAATGGATATCTTTAAATCTTCTATTCGAGTCACCGTATGAATAGGGTTTCAATATTTTTATGTCCCTTTTTTTTTCTTTTCTGATCGATTTGTCTAACTTTCTACAGTCTAGGTTTGATTTATCGGTAGCAATCGCAGAAATTGATATCTTCTTTAGCTAATCGTTTTCGAACGAGTCCGATGAGTCTCGTGCTCTGATTACGGATCTGAAAACTATTTTTCACCGTTGCCCTGAAAAAGTCAAATTTATATCGTAATAATCACTTCTTGATTATTGCAAAACAAAGTGCATAATGATCAGTGTTATCATTAAAATGGTAAAAGGCATTTGTCAATGAACGCGCCGATTCCGTTTCGTAATCAATCGTTCTCGAGCATTCGAGATAGAATCCCCGGATTGACCTCCTTTCATGTTCAACTTATATTTCCTTACGACCTCTCGTTTAATTGGACAAATACTATCCCGGTCGAATACCGATGCGGATAGCGTTTCCCTTCGACTCCGCCATCAACCTGGAACTCTCTCCTTTTTTTTTTTTTTCAATTACTTTTCGAGGGCTTCGCCACCGGATAACATTTCAAATACTGATCAATTCACTTACCCTACCCTTGTGTTATCAATTACAATGATCCCCGAGGAATACCCTCAAGTACCGTTCTGTTTCCTTTATCTCGTCGCTCCTTAAGTTTATTATACCATATGGTACGCTCATGAAACATCTCTGGACGATTCATGCTGTATTTGTTCGGCACTTTGTCAACTGTGTTCGAAACAATTTCAGAGGATTCCAATTTCATTTCGGGACAATAGAATAGGGTGAATATCATTTTGGATATGATGAATGTACTGTCTATTTAACCCTTTAGTTACTACAATCTTTGCTGAAAATTATTGCAATATTTTTATATAATAAGTTTGATTTTAAAATTGTATTCGCAACAGGCTTTGTGAGTTGTCAGATTTAAGGATTCATCCGATAAAAATGTTGTCCCGAGATAATCTGGTAGAAAGTGAAATATTGAAAACAGACAGGCGATAAGGGAGATTCGCAGAGACGAACGACCTACTGACGGACACTGGACGACCTAATTTAGTCGACGAGGCTGTTAAGAGAGGCCGAGGATAGGTCGTAATTAATTCGTCGACGCAATGGTACTCGAGAGGAAGTCCGAAGGATCCAGGAACGATTCTCGATTCCGCTTTTGTCCACGGGGTTCGATGCACCCGGCGTCTTCCTCGAACAACCCCTACGTCTCTTTTCCTCACGGACCATCGGCGAAGTTGGTTCGCAGAGTTTAACCAGGGCTCTCGCTATCGACCTGACGAGCAACCTCGGCGTCTGCGTCGATGTCTGCGGCGCGCAGACGCCCCGACACGGGCCTGGGTTCTCCAATCGATTTCAGATTTTCCAGCATAACGAGGCCGACTGCTGCCCAAAAATTCCTCTACGCGCACCTTCTCTCTCTCTTTCTCGCTTCATCTCAATGCCGTTTCTCTTTCGTTCTCTAACTCTGTCTCTTCCTCGTACCGTAGAAAGCTGTCAACCCTTTTCACCCTGTTTCTCTCGTCCTCCTTCCATCCTCCTCCTCCCTCTCCTTTCTTGGTCTTTCATTTCTTCTACGTTCTGGCCACGCCGCGAGAGGGAGGTGTACGAAAGTGGCCCACGGGATCGATTTTCGATAGGGATAATTGTGGATCCACGGGTCTATTCGAAAGTTTCGTTTTCTCGTTCAACGCTTTTCCGTTTTCCCTCGGTATCGAATTGTTCGCGCCTAATTCCACTGGACTCTTTGACGAAGCAGCTTCCTCTCGTTCGGCTACCCTTTTCATCGATTGATTTTTATGAAACTTAAATTTGCCCCCGTTCGCTCGAGGCGTTCCTCTGAAATACGTAATTTGTACAACGTGGCGGTGGCGCGTGTGAGAAATTCCCGATGAATTGAATTGCGAGCTCGGCTTCATCTCTTCGATATATCCTTTGGATTATAGACATTTTTGTTACCGTACCCCCGCGTTCCAATTGCACGATAACGTTTCCCCCCCCCCCCCCCTCGACAAAGTTAATTCGATGTTCGATGAAAATCGAAACAAAAAGATTCGAATAAAAAGACCCGATTCGAAAAAGGGTCAGCGGAGAAAAAGAAAAAATCCAGTTTCCCTGTTCGCTGTGCTCCCTGCTTCGAGAAGACAGTAGAACCGTCCCGATTATGGTCAGACGTGTCCCGCATATATTCCAGTATCTTTTCAGCAATAAAGCGATCGGTTGTCGTTTCTCTTTTACCTTTGTCATGATCCTGACACGTATGATCTAGTATTGGTAGCGTACCGGAGACGATACGTCTCGAAAGTGGCACGGGATTTTCCTGGCAACTCTGAGACTCGATTGAATTTGTAATACAACACAACCGATACTCCAGGGATCTCTTCGACTCGTCAAATGTATACGCGATCGCGCATCGACTTTTCAAATGCATCTTTGAACACGTGTTTTCCTTTTCTTTCTTTTCCTCTCCAGGTAGTAAAAGGAAAAACATTTTATGACCTCGAGAATTAATGGGTTAGGAATTTTCTCAGCTACCCTGCTGAGCGTTCTACAATTGTTTAAAGAAAAAATATTATCTTCGTACACGTGTATAATCATGAAATATCAGTTTTTTATTCGAATTCCATGAATTGATGATAGACAATTAGCTGGAACGTTGTTGATTGAAAATTGAGGCACCCTTTTGCATAAAAAACAAGCGTTCAGAACGGCTCCATCTAACGATAGGGGTTCTCAACGAAATCAAACGAATATATATTGGAAGTATCAGGCACACGGGGAAGCGAAGAACATTTATCGCGAGAACGACATCCGGTTTACACGTGCTCGAACCGAGGCTCGAGACCGGCGGTAAATATTAAAAAGCCCTTCAGAAGTGGGTCTGGCATAACAAACATCGCGCTAGAATTTTAATTTTCAATATTGCCCGGGAATTTCAGCCGGCGTGTCGTGCCACCCGTTCACTTCGATATCATACCTATCCCGCGCATGTTTATGCATTTTTATTTGCATCGGGGATCCCCGAAGCAAAGCAGAGGTTTGAAATTTCGTCGTATCGCGAGCACTGGTTACAATCCGATGGGTGAGGGAGGGTGAAACCATTCAATGGAGAATTCTGATTGCGATCAATCAGCTTTTGCTGCTTCAGATCTTCGCTTCTCGGAGGAACAATAAAGCTGACGTCCGCCAAATGCGTCTCTGACCTCCTTTGTATATCCATCGGAGTGCCACTGATGGAAAGCATTCGTCTGTTTCGTTCTATTGCCGGTGCAACGAACGCATCGAAGGGTCGTTACCAGCAATCTCGCGTCGTTCGTTCGTTGTTTACGGATTTAGAAGTGGACTGGCTTGATTTTCATGGAAACTATACCGATCGCCGCGTGTATACCACCGGCGACGAACGGACCGATTCTATTTCTCCAAATCAATCGTTAATTTTTATTGACTCCCCGGAGACGGGTATGCTGCTAGCGTCGAACGAAGGGTAGATGGAAATTCAATCTGATTCGATTAGCGGAACCATAGTATGGGCAGAAAGAGGAGAAAGGGACAATTGTGGCCGTGCTTCGAATTCTCGAGTGACCCCGCGTGTTTCTCGATGATCACGACTCGAAATTTCAATAGACATTCGATATCGGCCATTTAGGTGAAATTCGTCGTCCGTTTCTCATTTTCCTATCGCTTTAGCTATGCGATAATTTGATACTTCCATATTCACTTGTTCCAAAGGAGGAAAGCTTAATCGGCGAGGAAATTGCTCGTTTTCAGGGAAAATTTTTCGCAAAAGCATTTTTTACCCTGTAACTCGACAACTTTATTTTTTCCTTCACACCGTGTGACGATTTTTACTTAAAAAGCGTCAACGTTTCTCTCTCGTGCCTTTCAGCAACGTGTAATCTTTACACAAATTGGAGACCGCTTTGGGAGCAAAGGACACGTTCCGCGAATATTCGTTTGACTCCTGTTTGTAGCTGAGAATTCGTACATCACCCTGTGGCCATTAGCAGAAAAACCACGGCGTATGGTTTCGTCGGTGATACTTTGCACTCTTGGTTAATGTAAATATGAAATTCGTCGGTATAAAGTCACTAAATATTTCGCGTAACGCTTATTCGCCGGATATGAATGCTATCCAACTGAATAATCGAGCTGTGACCTACTTCAAAAAGCTCGCTAATTATGTAAAGATATTATCTTGTTCGCATGCGACCGAATAAATACAACCGTACGTTGATTTATCTTTACCTTCGCGGACTTTTATCTTCAGATGGTATACTTCGTTCGCATATATTTCATTTTAATAATACTCTTAAAATATTTTCAGTATTTATGCAACGCGGCAATGCACACGATCCAAAATAAGTTATTTAGTACCTGCTTATCGATTTCAATCGTTTCTGTTAGTACAGTCGTCGGGATTCTACTTGAACAATTCAATCAAAGGAAATAATTAATCCTTTTGCAGAGCTAATTGCTAGTTCTGTTGAAATCGAACGTATCGACACGTGTCAATCGTGGTTCTTTACACGAAATAAATCAACATTCTATTGTTGTTTCCGTTTGATAGACGGCTAGCTTCTATCGTGGATCGGCAACAATGCGATCGTTTTGGTTTTACGAAGTTTCACGTGGTCGTGATAGAGCTCATAGAACGTGTTAGCTGATTCTCATCCCTGAAACTCGAAATACACCCCTTTTGTCGAAGGGTTCGGTTAACAATCCGGAGAATGGCGAACCGAAGCATCACCTTTCAAAACAAACTCGGAAAACAAGGCAGTATCGCTCCACCCACACGTACCTAGTAAAACGAATTTCATCAGAGAAGTTTAGTCCACCTCTTACTGACCAACCTTTCCACGACCGCAATCTTGTTTGCTGTTTGTCGTTGGTTAAACAGATGGACACCCATCGTGATAAGTGACCAGCGGTAATTTACCACTGAAAGTGAAGTGACAAGAAGGAACACGTGCCATTTGGGACACTTTTCCAAGCTGTTCGATCGATTCAAGTTAATCCATAGAAATGAGCCTTTTCTTATTATTAATTGGAGGGATCTTGAAAACAGAAGAGTCAGGGATGAATGCTTTTTAGAGCGTTGAAAAATGGACACTGAAGACGAGTCTCGTTAACAAAGCACTGTACATAATTAGTGAAAAAAAAAATCATTGTTTTACTTGTGCTACGAGTATTTCTGTATTACATGTTGTCGTAATACAATTTGTAAATCTTTAATTCGACGAGTCAAACATTCCTGGGTTACACAGGACCTTTCTCCCTTTCGCTCTACCGACTCTCGGCTGGGGTATATGGCCAATCGACGAGGGACAGAGCAATTCGTTCAGTAAATTAGGTTAAATCTGAATCTTGGTGGTCCCGTTTCCCGTTGCCTTCTCCTGCCATCGATTATCTACGCACACACGTGACCGATTTACTGGCAGACAAAGGGACCAACAGAATGAATGGGAACAGCGCGTGTCCGGTTGAACAGAAAGAAAAGGGAGAAAGAATTACCCGAAGTGCTCATAAACGATCAGATATGTTCCCTTGTAAATCCCTCATATTGATAACACTGATTTTGTGATAAATCTCTAGCTTCAACGTGTATTTGCTCACGCGAGACAGACATTTATTTGTACATCTCAGTGCTTCGATAGTGCACATTATGAGTATTTATTGAAGTGTAGATATAAATATAGTAAATTGAATTGTTTATAATAAAGTTGAAGCCACCAATGACGAAAACCACAAATTTAACCTTTGATTGGTGAAACCAGATCAATCGTGAAACATGTACAACATTATTTTGACTGCAATTGGGTAATTATTTTTAAATGATAAATATTACAATTGAAATTATTGTTGTCTTAAAATTTAATAATTCCGCAGCTATATTTCATGATTATTTACTCTATAAATAATAAAATTAATTGATTGCTTTATTGGTGAATGCATCACTAGCAAACGGAAGGAATATATATACTAGACGCACGATGGCGCTTTTATTATTTCACTTTTCTCGCGTGAAAAATACTGAATAATATTTATTATCGGCCACAAACAAATAAAGCAAAATTCACTGCGCTGTCTCCGCGTTCGGTCGATCTGTATTTCAGCTTCGCTCGTGGAAACATTAAATTAATTATAAATTTCCCAAAAAGGCAATTAACACCTTCAGATAGGGACATTTATTCATAATGGAATTTTTAATCATACTTTCAGAAAAATCATACGTATGTTGACAAATTAAAATTTAAAATCAATTTTACTCTGTTCAAACCCATATCGATTGATTACAATTGAAAATATTGCAAGAAACAACAGTAGATCAAGCCTGGATCCAACTATAGATTACAAGAAACACGTAACAGAGTACGTGAGTGGTATGCGGCTGTAGTTTACAAAAGAAAAACGCAAGATCGCCTCAGTGCCTACGAATGCGTTAATAAGAAGACCGATGGTAGCGGAAGAAAGAAACGGAAAACATTGTGTGATCGGTCACCCGGGGAAAAAAGAAAGGATCGTGGACTTGGTAAGGTGGTTTCGAGGGAGGCATTGGTGGCAGCAGTGACTTTGTCAGAAGCGAAAGAAAAGAAACGGTGCACATAGCTGGGAGAAGAAGTGGCGTTACCCATTTATCGGGAGGATTTACTGTTCTCCGGTTCTCCTCTCCGCCGATTGTCCGTGAATTCGAACGGTTATATCAGTGGAATTTCATTTCTGTCCGACCGCGGAATATTACCGTCCGTTCACTCTGTCGCACGAGTTGTGAGAGATTTTCCACCCTCATAATTTCAACCCCTTCCTCCCACTTCATGGACCGCCGCGAATATTTCGAAACGACGTACTTAATAGCCGGCGAAAGACCGCTCGTATATTTATCGAAAATTTCAACCGCGATCGTTTCGCCGATCTCGTTTACGGACTGTATCGAGGAATAATGGTCGGAATCGTATCGATTGTCTTTCAAAACTTGAATCATTGTGTAGAATTGGTATTAGATTTAACAACTATATTCGCCAGGTATTTTTTGAATCTCTAAGTTTTGATTCAATATCTCAATTGCTTGTATCGTCGATAAATAGTTCTTTTATGAAGAATTTGAAAACCTAGATGATTCGAGATGATTCCGAACGTAACCTTTTGGTACGCGCTTCTGAATAGTTAAGGAATTAGTACGTTCCGGCAGAGGCAAGTAGTTTTACGGCGTATGTATACACGGTAGACGGTGAATGGTTAAACATCGGGTCCATGGAACGAAAGCTTCTTACTCGATGTAAGTGGTGCAAAGCTGTTTCGAACGGTACAAATCGGCGAGCACATACGCGAACAGAATTTTTGAATGCGAATCAATATGGTGTGCATCCTCGAAATAGAACGTGCTGCTAGATTCCAGATAACAATATATAGACTGACGATGACTGTATCGTGACCACATTTATAGTTCGAAATTATCGATAATCAATACCACAAATTTAGTTTTATTCAATTATAAAGTAGCGTTAAAATTGAGAATCAGCCATTCTACAATTATGTTATGAAATTGTGTCAAGCTTTTTCAGTCAGTCTTACTAATCGGTGAAAAATCTCAGTTCACAGTATGTCCGAGGTTTTCGTTGGATCTCAACGTCTACTCTGTTCTGCTAGAAGAGTTATTTAAATGAACTATTCAACCGACTGTGGAGATGCTAGAAAATATTGGATCATAACACGAGAAACGTATGTACATACGTAGGTTTCTTCGTATTGAAGAACGTACAAGGAGCGAATGTTGATTTTCATAAAACGCGAGCGGAATCTCGAGGAAGCACGAAAGATGAATGCGAGGCGAAAAGCAGCAAAGCGAGAGCTACGAGCGAATGAATACGTGTACTCTGAGGAAACAAAATCTACTGCGCGATCGGTTAACTGCAATCTTACTTGCTAACTTTAATGAATTATTTTTGCAGCATTCGGTCTTACAAAAGTAACTTTTATGCTTTATCTTTTTTTTATACTACCATTATCTATTTGTACTAAAAGTAAGCCTTGATCGGCTGAGATGGATTAAGAGTTTAGCGCTCCACAATACGATACGTAAACAGTGGAGTGGTCGTCATCAAACTTAGCGAAACAATAACAAAGCTAAACCGGATCGTGTCTATATTGTAAACATACCGCGAAGTCTTCGCAGTTCATAGAGCACAGGTAGAAGCGTGTGTTTCAGTCTCTGTCGAAACACAGGCTGTTTCAAACCTTCGGTGTATCGAGTTGAGAACCAATCGTCACAATATTATACGGGAACGGAATTAAACATACAGTATTCCAAGTGGAGAATTTAAATTATAAATAATTGGTGTAACAGTGAACGGGTTAATTCAACGGAAATGACAGGGGTCAGAATTTTCCGGGAAGCAATATCATTTGCTTTTACATGAATAAACAAAAGTTTGGCGCTTCAGTCAGCAGAAACGTTACAGGTAAACATTTTATTTACGAATACGAACATCAACAAGATATTCGCAAGCGATTATTTCTCTCGTTACAGCACAAATTGCATAACAGTTTCCAGCCGGGAAATTCAAGGAAAGCGACGGAATCATACACGACGGGAAATTGAATTTATTTAACCGGCGCGGCAACATGCAGCTCAGAGGTAAGTGAGGTTTTAGACGAACCACGTATTACATATGTACATCCCAGTCCATAAATCACCGGACACTTGAACATGTGTAGATAACGAGACTTTAACGCCACTTTATTCTGAATAACTCTTCATAAAAATATTAATATCTTTTATATTATAAATTATATATTCATTATACATCGATGCTCAATTGTATTATATTAATTTTTTTTCCGATTAATTTTAATATCTTCAGAATTAAAATTTGTGTAATTTTCATTACAAGTGTCAGATGTACATGTTTTTAATGGCTTATGAACGAGGGTGTACATACAAGTAGTTAGGTGTCGATGATGGGAGGCTTGAACTACTCTTTTAAAAATTCCGTAAAACCCTTGAAATATTAAGGTCTCGCTAATAGGCGGTCTATTCCGAAATGGGGTCACCGCCATTAAAGTCGAACTTCAAGAATTTTGCCCGCACGAAAGTCTCTCCACTCGACGAAGGCCGTTACTATTTCAAAGTCGACGTTTATACGACAGCTGTCGAAGACGGGACGCCCTTTTGTATGGAACAGAGGGTAAGTCATTTCTTTTTTCTTTCCAGTCTGGTTAAATTCTTGAACAGTCACGTTTCAATAGACGAACGTCTCTGGTACGAAATTGTCTTTTTCTTTCGTTTATTTCTTTTTCTTTCGCCGTTCGGTAAGAAAGGGCGGTTGATAATTATTTCATGTCAATGGTACGCAACGCCCAATGAATTCGGGTTGCTTTAAGATTACCGGGGCGAGCAATTGTGCGATAACGTAATTTCGTCGCTGTCGTCTGCCAACGACGATGGTGTAATTCGAAAGAATGTCCTTCCTTCCGTTGCCAAACGTCTTTCGTACCTTCGTTCGGATAATGTTCGCAAATTGCTCGTGCTGCAATTCCTCCCATCTGACGGCAAGCCTCCTTCTCGTTGTCGGTACTTTGAACAACGCACGAGTACTTGTTATAACGGCAGGTTGAGAGAATGTTGAACTCTTCAACAACGTTACCGTTTATCCCTAACCCTTTCGTTGAGGGCGAGGAACACGTGTGACGTTGAAGATTAACCCATTTACATCGTTGGGAAAATTTGATAGCTAACGACAACTATTTCATTTTAAGAAGTATATTATTCAGTAACATTATTACTATATTTCTGTGTCTAACTTGGTTACTTGACGATATACCCGATTCCATGGTAATGGCCTGGGGAAATGAACGGATATATCCGCTTCTGATGTAATTGGGTTAAATGGCAATTAATGAGAAAAGGATGCTGAATTAATGTAGAGTCACGGTGGGATAGGGATTTTCTATGAAGGCGTCAACGTAAATGACAAATAAATTATTTATTAAGTTCCAGTATATAATAATACGTCACCAAATGTTAGTACGTTAACATAATACTGTGTAAGTTGATTTACGTGATTGCATGTTTACTCACGTTAATGCATGCTTGTATATACAAGATATAGAGTACTAGATGTTAATATGCTAACCCCAGGAGGGATGCAGAGATAGCCATAATTTAAATTTTAAATTAGACTCTTGTTTATTTTCATTTTCCTCAAATATTACTTTTGCAATATATGGAAATCTTACGTTTAAAATTTTGACTACCTAATTTTGAGATCTGGGTTAACCAGTCTGTTTAATAATTGAATAACAGAGATTGATTAATGATGATGAATATGAAATCATTTTAAAATATCTCTGAAAATTAATTCGATTATTCCGACATCGTACGGTAAAAACGTCAATTAATAACAGAAAGTATTTATAAATTATGAGATTAAATTTGAAGCAGAAGAATATAGTAGAGATCGTGACAATTTATGGGATACATAATGAACGGATATAAGATCACCTGTCATATCCAGCAATAGATTCTTCATATTTTAAATTATCGTTTCACCCAATTCATTCAAATGAATAATTTGTCTAATAATTAATGACAGTTAATATATTTTATGCCACATAAATATCTCAGTGTACGTTTCATTTCGTGTGCATTCAGTCGGTGCAGTTGATAAATCTAATATAGAATGAAAAATATTATTCTCCGTTCCATCAGCAGAATATTTTTCCGCTCATGTTTTTCTGCTCGAATAGTTGTATTTTCCATCCTGAAAGGTTCGGTGCATCGAATTCGTAGCTGGTAAACGTAGAAATTGGTGAGCCTGTAAGCAAACACGTAGCTCGAAGGCAGTTATAAAATGACGCGTAAAAGTCAGCCCTCCCTGTGTACGATTAAAATCCGTTGAAAGCTCTGTTTGCACGTCAAAGGTAAATTCAATTCTATTTCTCATTCGCAAGTGCACCGAGCACATTAACAATTACAAGCACGACTGCCAAGTAATTTCGTAGAAAGTCAACGGGTCAGAGTTCTTCTGCAAAACATCTCGTTTCCTCGACGAGAGAACGTTTCCTTTGCGAAATTTCTCCGTTTAGTATCGATAACCGTAATGAAATCGTCCGTATAGCACGATTCGACGATAAATTTCAAATTTGTTTTGTCACCTACTTGTATCACGATTTTGTTACCACCTTCCATTTTCCGCGGCTATTTTATCATTTCATCTAAGTTTCACGTTCGAAATTCTCAGCCTATCGTGGCGATTCTCTAAATAAATTTCCACGATTTATGTATCAGGAAATACGAGCGAGTTGTCGGAAAAGTCGAGCAGAAAACGCTGTCGTCGACTGAGAGTTGCCTTGGAAACAAGTAAGAATAGGAAGAAAGGGAAAAGAGGAAGAGAAAGTAGCCGGTTGCAAAATGTTCCTGGTACTTTCTTATGCGTCCATTTCTTCTTCTTTCCACGCACTCTTCCCTCTCGTTTTTCGCGTCCTTCTCGGCGTTGCTGGTTCGCGTGTGTGCTCGTACGCGTTCGTGTGGTCTGTCCAGCTTGTTTACGACACGGGCATCGAAGCGAAGGAGGTGGAGGCGGGTTCACGTGGAGGTGGTGGAAACCCGATATAACTCCGACCCTTACTACCCCTCTCGACACGTTTCCCGAACAGGGTAGGTCGCACCAGCACCAACACAAGCCACTTGCTCTCCGGCGAGCAGCGTACTCGAGCTTCTGTGGTTCATGAAAGCTAACTTTCTTTTTGTTCCTCTTCTTCTACTTCGTTTTCTTTCATCTGTGGCTTCTCCTCGTCCCTGCAACCCCATATCGGCCGGACCTCGAGGGTTCTGTGGTCGTGGTTTAAGTAAATGTTGCGTTTGGAATTATCGAGAGCCTGTTTGGGTAGAAGGCGAGCCAACAGAGATTCCTTGTAGTTGATCAGACGAAATCTTCTGTTTCAAAAATTCAATATCACGCGAGTTTCATTTTATTTCCAGCTTCCATCGAATATTTTTCTGCTCACAGAATTGAAACTTTGCAATAGCGTTTCAACTTGTAGCAGATATATTGACGCAAATTCGCATTAATAAAAATTTAACGCAAGGAAATTCTAATTATTTAAAATACCGGTAGTTGATTTTCAAATTCAACCTCTCGATTTCCTACCCCGCTTTATTATTATAACGGTAATAATGAATCAATTATAATTGTACTTTGCTCAGTGTACAGAATATCTAGAGCTAATCGATTGGCAGAAACTCGACAGAAACTTGTATGGTTCGTTAAGGTCTCTGATACCCCATATCGGTCGGATATCGTGGATTTTGCGCTAGTTGTTTGAGCAAATGTTGTGCTTCCAATTATCAAAACCATATTTGGTTAGAAAGCGAACAAATAGAGGTTGGTTAGTAGATCTAGTTGTGGCTGATCAGACGAAACCTTCTCTTTCAAGAACGCAACATCACATGAGTTTAATATTATTTGATGACAGGAATGAAAGCCGCATAGGAGTATTAATTATAATTGTATTTCATCCGGTGTACAAAATAAGGTTGATTGATTGGCAGAGGTTTCTATGGCTCATCGTGGTCCCTGATATCCCATATCGGTCGAACATTCAGGATTCTGCGGTGGTGGGTTAAGTAAATGTTGTGTTTGCAATTATCCAGAGTGTTTGGATGAGACACATGCGGTTTGAGGGCAAGCCAAGAGAGATTAGCTAGGAGATCCGGTTGTGGTTGATCAGACAAAATCGTTTATTTCAAGATTTTAACCTGCTGTATGTCAAGTATATTTATTCGACAGAAGAAGGAACGGAAAGATGAGTTATTTCTGCATAAGAAATCGGTTCGATAAGTTTTCTTCTCTTTTAATTCTGCTTTTCGCCACGTGACGGGTAAGGTTTTCTTTAATTTAGTTCACTCTCATCCATATTCTACTGCATTACCATACACTCATTTTATTTCGTTTCTTCCGGCCACATCCATATTCAAGCTTAGGTTTTAATCGTTTTCGAAAAGCGACCTTCGGCTCTCGTTCGTTTCGTGGCGCCTTTAAAGGCAACAAAGTTTCCGCTCGAAAGCTGATAAAGTTTAGCCCTGAACTCGTAAATTTCATTACGGAAGAAATCTATCTCAACTGCAAGGAATTCAACTTATTTTACCTTTCGAGACTTTTACTCCGAGGATTTACTTCGGGATCTCGTTGAACATAGCAAACAATTTTGCAGACAATACCAGATAATTGAGGAAATAATTTTCCGTCGTTATTACCCGACGTTCTTTGCAGAAAGCGTTTAGCTTACGGTTTTTCAGGCTTGTTAAATTGTTAATTACATCTTGTACGGACCAAAATCTAGAAAACTCTTTGTCCCGACACGGTATTTGAGGGAAACGTTAAAAGAATTTCTGCTATTGTGCGGAAGAAATATTAGCCGGAGCATTTTAAGGTAGTTTAGAACTGTAGTACTATCATAATACTTGCAAGTGTAACAGTTTATTTGTTCGTATATTTTTGTTTCAATTGTACTCGTTCTCTTTCCAAGAAACACATATGTTTCTCGTGTTTCTTGATAAACATTTACGTAGAGAACTTTCTCATGCTACATTTTACTTTCTAAAACAGCGGAGGCAAGAAAAATTCTCAGAACCATTATGAAAAAAGTTGTTTTCCGGCGATATAAAATTGCCAATTTTGAGGCGAAACTAAGTTAACCGTCATTCCTTTATTCCCCCATAAACCCGAGCGAAATTACATTTCACAATTTAATAAGATTTAATAACACCCACGCTTGTCGTAAAACAATGGACAAAGTATGTAGGCACACTTCTTTTCTGCGTTTTTTGTCGACCGAACGTTTATCCTTCAACAGCTTTGCCCAATTAACTTGAAAATTGTTAAAAATGGCATTGCTTTTCGCAGCAGATGAAATTAATTAAACGCTGTCGTAATCAATATTCTTCGACAGAAAGTCTTGTATCTTACTAGGTAATTAATGTATAAAATTAATATTTATTTATAGGATTATTACTTATGAAATAGCCTGGCATTTTTCTCATACAGCATCGCTGTAATATTATAGACTAAACGGTCGCTTCCAATTATCCCGTTCTATTTAATTATCCAACTGTAGTTTCGTTTCTTCTATAGAAGCCATTAATTGAATATCAAAAGGTAAAGAAGCTCCTTTGCCTTTTCCCTTC